GTTATTCACTCCGGTGAGAACCTGTCTGTGCGCGAGGGGGTAAAGATGCCTGTCCAGGGAACCTGCAGCCGGTGTGGCTACATCTCCAGTCAGAAACTGTGTAAGGCATGTGTGCTGCTGGAGGGGCTGAACCGAGGTCTGCCAAAGCTGGGAATAGGCAAACACCACCGCTTCCATGATAAAATCCTCTCCCAGCAGCCGCTTACAGAGCAGGAGGAGAGAAAGCTGAAAGCAGTAGACTTTTGAATCACAAATAATGATTTTTTTTTTCTTTAGAATAAATGATATTTGTTGTCTTTTATATGAGAGCAATCAAATCTTAACTTTCCAAGTATTTATTGACTGTTTATATGGAATTTTAATTTGAAATGCTATGTAGACTTTTTACACTTTATACAAAAGTGTGTGACCAGCTGCTTTTGTTGTCATTTGCCATCTAAAAAAGACACATTTGAAAGTGCATTTACTTTATTTTTGTATGTCCCAGTGTACCAACCTTTGGGGAAGGGTCTGATAACAGTTATGGTCATACTTCAAAGTATTTTATGATCTATAATAAATGCATTGATCTTTATCTTCAAACTTGTCCCAAAAACTTGAGAATGCAGTCTGATTTGTTGTGCCTTTCATGATTCTAATGGTATAATGTTTATTCTTCTCTGAGGTTATGTGAACAGATATGCACTACATGATCTAGAAGGTTTATAAAAAATCACGGTTGCTTATACAGCCATGACATTATTTGGGTATTTGGAGATATTTATTTTAAACGTGTAATTCCGGTGTTTGGCCGCTAGATGTCCTTCATCACCGCCATTCAGTCGGCGCGCGCCCTGGAAAAGTACACACACACACACAAACTGCCGCGCGTTCACGAGAGCCATCCTGACTGACCAACTTCCAGGGCAGCAGTGCTGGTGAAGTTTGAAGGGGAAAAGTCAGATTTCACAAACCATCCGGAAGGTCGCCAAACAAAAAACTGACGCAGTCCACAACTAGACAGCAGCTATGGACGATTTAGGTAAGTTATGAGGGTTTTTTTTTTTCATATGTGGGTTTTCTGCCCCCAGTTTGGAGCGGATAGCAGGGTGGAGGGGTAGTCAACGTTACGAAGAGATTTTATGTTGGCTGTTTGTCCAATGTAGCTTTCTTATCCAGGGAAACTTGGGAATACCTGACAGAAATGTTACAGTGACGAGCGAAAGCGTGAATGTTGTACCGACTTGACTTTCTCCTCACACTGTTGTAAAATAAGCAGCCTAGTAGGTTAGCAGCTGGACATCGCTAGCCTTTAACTCTACCTACTTTTTAACTCTCCCTCTCCGAGGTGAAGCGAACGTCTCTGGCAATAACACGCCGCCCTGCTCATCTAAATCAAGGTCTTTTTTTTTTATCAGTATGTGTGCCGGAGGGAGGAGTTATTTAATGACATTTTGACATTAAGCCTTAACATTACCTTCTCAACTTTTGCCCCAAGGCTACTCATTCCAGCTTTGAAGTGGTAGAGTCAACAGGCCTCCCTGTACAATGTGTGCTCAGCCCTGGCCTGGCTGACTTCTAGTGATCCTCCAGTGTGACAAACTTAACTTGCAGGGATGTATAATTACTTGGTAAACTGGTACACTTTATCCTTTTATATCAAAAACTAGGGTATAGGAAGCGGAAAGATCAGGTCTGAAAACTGTTTGATTAGACATGTGCAAGTTGAGAAAGGCTGTAAGAGTTGGACAATCAGTACATCTTTAGGGATCTCCTGATTGGGAAATTCTGTGCTGATACTGATAATGAGCTCATATTCAAACATGTGTTTATTTACCTAGCAAAGAAACCTTCACCATAAGAAATAACTCTGTGCTGATGGAGACTTTAAACTGTCTTTAAATATTTGTCACACACCAGATAAAAACTGGCTTCTACCATTAGGCCGATATCTTGATGTATCCCT